CACATATGTACTTGACTACCTCTGGTCTTAATTATAAGAACTAGTTGACTAATTTGAGGAGATTAAAGAAATAAGATAAGTTAGTTATTTGTAATGAATAGGTGTTATCTTTTCTAAAATATCCTTGTTAATCAGGTATATTGGCTAGAACTATTATTATTAGAAAGATTTTCTTGAAAAAAATACATAAATATAAGAGACAAAATAAATTTTAGTCTTATATTTATGACCAAAATAAAAGTCAAACAAGACTTAACATATATAAGCAGGTTGAACTAAATTTTTTCCATGCGTAAATTATTGCGAGAAAATACAAAGGCTACAGAGCCTTTTATACTCTTTCATTCACTGTCCCACATAATCTCAAAACACAGAGCTGTGACACAATTTAACTCAGCCTTTTCCTCACCTTATTAATATTATGATTTAGAATGGGGCGAGAGAAGAGAAAACTAATATTCAGTTCTATTTCAATTAAACGTGTATGATCTGTTCATGATTATTTATATCCTCAAACCCAATAATTCCGAAGAATTAAATATGAAAATATTCTAAAAATTAAATGCAAATATTCTGAAATAATAAAAAATAACAATATCATGAAAAGATAACAAATGCAACAATTACAAGAAATAAAACAAAATATTCTAAATCTGCAACCTGAATTTTAAATCTTATTTTTCCACTCTTTCTCGTTTTTTTTCTCATCATATTCCTTTCTCATTATTATATAAAGGGTTAATTTGCATTCAGCACTCCAATGTATTTTCTTTTTTGCATCCAACACCTTAAAATATGTTTTTAAGTGCGACTAGCACCGTGAAATATTTTTGTGTGCATCCAACATCCTAAAGTATTTTTAACACCCTAAAAAAAAATTTGGGCATCCAGCATCAAGGCCCAAAAAATACTGTAAGATGCTGGACGCACCTGAAAAATGTTTCAGAGTTATAGATGTACCACAAAATACTTTAGGATACTGAATGGACCTGAAAAATATTTCAGGATGCTGATGCACCTTAACCCTTGTATAAATAAACTATGTATATATCTACAAAGTGTGAGGGATTCTCCTCAGGGGGCTAACGCTTTGTTTGGAGTTCTTATTCATATAATTGATATATACACCCTGATAACTTGTTAGATTTATCCTGACATGGCCTTCCCGAAGTTGATTCAATTCAATGTTTCTTTACGTGCATGGTTTGTTAGAGAAGGTTTGATGATTATGATAAATGTAGAGCATTTGAAGAATCATTCTTTTCAAAGGTGGTGGGTGTTCTTGACGATAGACTTGGGAGTTATCAAACGTCACCTATAAACAACATTCTTTCATTCTTTCTGTCGACGTCCAACTAATGTTCTTCCACCTTTTACTTTTTCATCAAGATAAGGTTTTTGCAGGCAACGACGTTTTCCTATATATCCATCATATATTCGCCTGTGCATGTTGTAGGAAATATTATCTCTGGTTTTTAATATAAGAGTTTGTTTGACTTTTATTTTGATCCTAAATATAAAATCTCAATTCATTTTGTCTCTCATATTTATTCATTGTTTTCCAAGATAGTTCTTATAATAATGATAGTTGTAACCAATACACTATATCAATAAGGATATTTTAAAAAAGATAATGCTTACTTATTATAAATAACTAACTTAACTAGTTTCTACTCAAATCAGTCAACTAGCTTTTATATTAAGCACCAGAGATAGTATCTCTGTCATTTCTTTGACTCTCCATTATGTACGCCTTTGACTTTAAAATTATACATGTTTAATACGGAGTAGTAATACTTAAAAGAAATATTTTCAATTGGTCGATTATGCTTATGAATCTATGGACAAATCAAGTATACATGGATGATTAAAAAAAATGATGAAAATGGAACAAAATTGCACGAATCGACGGTGAATGTGAGCCGCTAATGATTAAGAAAAAAACGTTGGTAAGTGAATGAGAACATGAAAATATATTCAATCATATTGGACAAATAAGCAAAATAATGTCATTGTGTATATCGTCGTCTTCGATTCGAAGAAGGCGGAGGAAAGGAGGTCGCGGCCGTAACGAATTCATGAGATATGCTCCATTTGGCAATTAATATGGGCTAAAGTATACATTTTGTGGGGGGAAAAGTATTTCTGGCCAAGTTTAGTCAAGAGGTATAAAACTACTTTACACGCAGTATTTTATGAAAACATTTTTTTTCCTTCGCTGAAATTGTGAGAAAAGGTTGAAAATTTGGTGGGGGAAAAAGTATTTCTTCTTGAATTTTTCACGAAAATTACACTGGGAGACTGAACTTCACGAGATATGCTCCATTTGGTATTTAATATAGACTAAAATATACATTTAGTCCTTTAACTTTATCCAATATTTCAATTTGATCCTTTAACTTTAAAAAGTATACTTTTAATTAATCCTTTAATCCCAAAATTGTTATTTTAAAATGATAATTTTTTGTAACAATCATGGTTGTTTTGAGTATTAAACTTAATATGTTAGCATTTAGTAATGTTTTATCAGCATTCAAAAGCTCAATATCATCATTTTTTATTGACAGGTTTAGGGTTAGAAGACTAAAAGTTTACTTTTTAAAGTTAAGGGATAAAAATAAAACCTTGTGTAAAGTTAGGGGATTAAAAGTATACTTTAGCCTTTGATATAAGAGTTACTTAACTAATTTGAATAAGTTGGGAAATTTAGATTAATTAATTAATTATAACAAATTCAGCATAATCTTCATAAGATATCCCGATATCACATTAAATTATGTCTTAATTTATAAGTTAGGTATATTAATTTGAAAAAAAATGATAAATGTGAATAAAAAAATTATTAATATTTTATATTTAGAATTAAATTTAACTTTAAATTAGTTCTCACGTAAAGAATTCAGAAAATATATTAATGGGCTTATCATTTTTATTCATTTCCCCCCCGATGCTGGGCGTTATTGTTTTGGGTCTTTCTTAATTAAGATTATGTTTGTGGGCTATTGGGCTTGGTATATTGGGCTCATTTCAGTTTCGTTTTGTTTGTTTTAGTTCGCGAATAAAAATGTCTGTCATGAAGGAAAATCAAGAGAGGGGAAGAGTTCTGGGCCTCCATGAAAGAAGACCAATTTGGCGTTAAATTTATAGGGTTACGTGAAAAGTTTGGATTTTTATGCTGGCCCAATTAATTTTTATTAATTGTGTATTTAACCCCCAAAATTCCTGGAATCATGCATCCGCCTCATATCCTACTTTCCCGGTCACACGTCCGCCTCATATCTGTTGACATTTTTACCGTAATTATTATTTTGACTCCCTTTTGGAAAGTTACTTTTTTTTTTTTTGGTAAAAAAACAAAGCTCAAAACCGCCCACTAAGTATGATAGTACATGGCATCAAGAGTGACGCATTCTATTAACAGGGTTGGTCCAAGTGGTAAGCGGCTTAGTATCGCTTAAGTGAGGTCTCGAGTTCGAGTCTCAGCGTATGCAGAAATCTCTGTTGGGACGAGTTGGATCCAGATATAGTCGGAGCAAAAGTCTAATAAATTGTTTGGGTAACCAAAAAAAAAAAAAGTGACGCATTATGAACTCCAGGTGATACACTGAGTGCTTCCTTCGCTAGGAGATCTGCTACAACGTTAGTCTCCCGTCTGCCCCTTTGAATCTGAGCACACCACTCTCGTTCCAATAAACCATGGATTTCTCCAAACAAAGCTTCATGTAGTCCTTCAACCTCTGCACGATTCAGCACAAGCTCCACTACTTCGGAGCAATCTGACTCCCTGATCATGTGGCGGTTACCTGAATCCCATGCATACTTCAGGCCCCAAAGAACAGCCCATGCTTCAGCTCCAAAACTGTCTCCCTTTCCCAGATTACAGAGGAAGCCTCCGAGAGCACTACCATCCCAACTACGCATTAAACTTCCACAAGCGTGTTCCTCATATGCATGTGAGAACGCACCATCAACGTTCATTTTCATGTATCCTCTATCAGGTGGAACCCCACCTTCCCTCTCCAACCCCATACCTCCTGCGTTTGGAGCTAGAAACAGTCACCCACTTAGTACAGGCGTCTACAAAAGCAAGAACTTCCTCCGCTGTTATCTCCTTCCCGTCAAACAAACAAGAAGCTCGTTTTTATATTTTCCCATAGAAAAGCCTACTGTTTTAACCTTAGGCTAAAGTATACATTTAATCTTTTAACTTTGTACATAGTTTTAAGTTGATTTTTTTACTTTAAAAAATATTTTTAATTAATCATTTAACTCTAAAATTGTTAACAAAAAAAATGATGACATTGAGATTTTTAATGTCAATAAAATATTCTCAAATGCAAACATATTAAGTTTTATTTTTAAAACAACCATAGTCGTTACAAAAAAACATCATTTAAGCCTTACAATTTTAGAACTAAAGGATCAAAGATATATTTTTTAACATTAAGGAACGAAATTAAAATCTTATATAAAATTAAAGGATTAAGTGTATATTTTTTCTTATAAGGCTAAAACTTCCTCTAACCAAAAACTCTATTTCACTTTCACCCGTGGTACACAGAAATTCGTGTGCTCCCACAAAAATATCCATGAATCTCAACACCAACAAACAAACTCAAATAGCCATTCAACCATCCATAAAACCTGAAATCTAACCTTGGAAAATATGAAGAATCAAGTATACGTAGGAAGAAATTATAAGCTAATTCTGTTGGGTTTGGCAGAGCATTTATAAAAAAGAAGAAATTACTGAACACTACATCTTAAATTAATTCTTAAAGCACTGATTTATGGTGCTTTCAGTTGTATATTTATTCTTCATCTCATTTTATGCACTATATATACATATACACAAGTTGTGGTTTGAGAAAATTGATAGATATATTTGTCTGCTTCAATGCCTTAAATTGAGAACAGTGAAAATAACCGTGACTCCAACGCAGATATCTAACTGCTTGTACATGTATACTGAAATCTCCATAATTAAACCATGAGAAGATGATACTGAAATCTTAGCATATATATTGGAAAATTAAAGATACTAATTCATTTTCTTTATATAACCATTATATTGTTCCATTATATAAATATACGAATGAGAAAGAAAGAAGAATCACTAAAAATCAGAGTAGAATCATATAAGAAACTGTGCCCAACCCAGCAGTTGACTTACTTGCATCATTTGTTTCGCGTCCAGGCATTGTTCTTATTCACAGTTTCATTATTCAAAATTGTTACCCCATAATTGATGATCGCCTGAGAACGGAGAAATTAAAGCAGAAGTTGTAGGGATCCCATTGAAGGCCAATCTCATCTCCTTTCTTCAAATTCCTCCTCTTCACAAAATCTTGATTCCAGTTTCCAATCAGACCATAGTTCTTGAAGGAAGCCCATTGCTTCAGAATCAGCTGGTGCATGGACTTGGTTTCCACATCCCACACTTTCACTGCCCTTCCCTTTATGCGTAACTCCTCCTCATCATTATTATGATGATGATGAAGATTATTATTATTGTTTACCAGGCCCGCCATGGAATCTGAACTCAACAGTAGCCTATTCAGCTTCCCCAGATCGCTGGCTGTCAGGACTTTCTTGATCTCCCATGGGTCATCGTACAGCTTCAAAGTGGTAGAGCAACCGCTTGGAGAATATTGGCTGATATAGTTACTCTCATGATTGGTTTTTCCTTTCTCTGATGAATTGGAATAATTGTAAGAAGGTTTTGGTGGTTTTGTCTTCCTGGCATTAGTATTTCTGCAGATGGAAAAATCTTGAGACGTTCTGGTTTTGGTGAAGGAGGTTACTGATGAGTAGGTGGAAGAAAGAGATAATTCAGTAGAAACTAGTATATTTGCAGATGATGATGATTCTTGCAAGCTCTTAGAAACATAATTTTCAGGGAATACGTTGAAGAAATCACAAGGATCGCTCTTATCCATCTTAATTCGTAGCAGCAGGTAGATGGTAGATATATAGAGAGAATGTAGCTTGTGATAAATTGGTGTAGGGCAACATATATAAAGGCACTTGTATATGATGTAACACAGTTATGTGTGTGTGTGTGTGTGTAAATGCCTACAGTTGCCAGGCCAATATCATAACGTAATATCTCTACGTGAATATCTTGTGAGTATACATGGCCATCAAGCAATAGAATAATCCGTAGTAATGTTTTAGGTGTCCAACCTATATATGGGACATTAGTTAGTTAATTTCAGTCCCAACATAATTTATAGTTAATATGAGACGAGATGAGACACTGATGAAGAATATAAATTGCAAAATTAAATGATAAAAAATATAGTTGATCCAAACAATGGGAGTGTTAGGGAATGAGGTTTCACCTGCTCAAATCACAAAATCTGACTTTTTAATTTACAACTCTTTGCACTTGTGGTGTTCGTTACTATTACAAAGTTATCATAAGCACCTCATATTCAATTAGGATTGAACTATTCATTCTCATACAACTAAAATTAGTAACCAAAACTTTAATTTCATATCTCTCAATAACACGTAAAAATTTTTACCGAGTCCTAAAGGTAAATTAATGTCTTTCTGCCGAAAATTTCAATAGGACTTTCCAAAAAATGCCTTATATTTGAAAAAATAGAATACGAACAGCCCCCCCCCCCCAAAAAACAAATCCAAGAAATGTCAAAGTGGACTGACTTTTTATAACCATCTGGAATTCAATTTGTTACTACTAAGTCTAGTTTCAGTAATGGGGAGTCTCCTAAATTAACTGTTGTTAATTAGAAGCTCTTGGGAATTCTTCTTCCAACCTGCGGTTCGGAGAAAACATATGCATTCTTACGAAAGAGAACAAGTTACAAAGTGAATGGGGGCTAGCTCTTAATGGATATTTTTGTATAAATCGAAGAATCCGCTGATGTAAAAGACTAAAAGGATAATTTGACTTAAGACTAGGTATATATACATTTTTTTTCCCTGTGCAACCCTCAAGTTCTCTCAATTAGATTCATTGTCCAGCTGTTTAATATAGTCAACCTCTTTAATTTCTTCTGGGTTAGATTAATATTAGTAAACCCCGATAGATGTTGAGTCATTCTTAGAGAAACTCTAAAGTAGTTGAGGAGTTATATATGCATATATAATATCAAAGATACAGAGAATCCCACGTGTGTTTGCCATGTGGCAAAAGATGCTTCGTTCCCCTTTTCTTGACAATGAAAGGATATACTCTTTAGTGATACCTTATGAAATGCTGAAGTGACTCTTTGCGACAGGAATTGACGAAAGTAAAAGAAAAGTAACAGAATAAGAATATCACTTTGACAAACAAGACCGAACAAGATCCCTTCTCTCTCTCTCTCTCTCTCACCTACCAAAATAAGGAGTGAGAGTAATGAGCATCATATGCTTGTGTCCCCAGCAGATAGTTCTGTTTATGTCCACTTCTTGTTGCTTCAGCATCCAAACTTATCCCCCCAGTTTGTTTATGGTAATCATCAAGAAATGTAAGATTCTCATCTTTAATTTCCATTCCCCCCCCCCCACTTCATCTTTATCTGTATATCTTTTGAATTTCAAATGGCTATGCCTGATTCAACTAATGTGTGTGTAGAGGCGGTGGATGAATAATGCCCTCAGATAATTGGTCATATTTCATTTTTCCTATAATGACAAAGATTATGAGACACATATTTGTTCATATTTGTTTTGTTCTTTTCCCCCATTTTTTCCTTCCTCTTATATTACATGCTAAGTTCATTTGAACTGTTTGGCAAAGATTTCCGATGGGTTCCACATGCAATTTCTATTTTTCTCCCTCTTACATATTAAATTGATTTAGACTATTTTTATTTTTTAACCATAAATATATTCTGTTCAAGTTCATATCAATTGCAATATAACATTATCATGATAGTTTATTAGCTCTTAATAATATAATTTCTCGCTTGAATGAATAAATACAATGAGATTTAAGTAGAAAAATAATTTCAGACCATTACATTTTTCCAAGCAAACTCATTTGACGGAGTGCTCTTTACATCAGACGCATATAATAGCCATTTAATTTAAATACATAAAACACTAACAATTTTTAAAGTGAATGAATGTCCTTCATGTGATGGAGTCTCTTTGTGCATTACATTATTGCAAGGGTAAAATCTAATTCTATGAACTACTCCTAACCGCAACTTTGGGGATATATAGGAGAGTTATGTATAAGGAACATAACAAATAAGGCGGCAATTATAATTTAAATCATTCTTAGTAATACTCACTCTTGGGGATTGACTCACTCTTGAAAGGAATGTAATACTCACTATTTCTAAGCTCATATTATTATTATTTTCTATACCGGAACTTATCATTGCATGCATGTAGTTGATTCAATTGCTTTGCATGATCGTTTGTCTCCTTCAGATTAATTACTAAGAATGATGGATTGACCCCTTCCAACTAGATTGCTTCATACACATAAAGACTGGAATTTTAACCTTCAGTCATTTTCTTAAGTGACAACAACTTACGCATACCAACCTGTAGAATTAGTGAGTACTATCTCCGGTCCTTAATATAAGAGCTAATTTGACTTTTATTTTGATTCTAAATATAATTAAGACCTTAATCCACTTTGTCTATCATATTTATTTATTTTTTTCCTAAGATAGTCCTTGTAGTAATGGTAATTCTAGCTAATACACTTATTAATAAGGATATTTTAGAAAAGATAACACCTATTTGTTACAAATAGCTAAGTTAACTAATTTTCTTAACCTGCTCAAATTAGTTGACTAGTTCTTATATTAATTAGGATCAGAGGTAGTATAATATATTGACAAATTGAATTTGAGACGACATAATAAAAGCATATACACATATTTACTTTATAGTAACTAGCTTGAGAACGGAGAAATTAAAGCACAAGCTGTAGGGATCCCATTGAAAACCAATCTCATCTCCTTTCTTCAAAGGCCCTCTTTTCACAAAGTCCTGATTCCAATCTCCTTATCAGGACATAGTTCTTGGGCGAAGCCCATCTCTTCAGAATCAGGTAGTGCATGGACTTGGTTTCTACATCCCACACCCTCAATTCCCTTCCCTCCATCATCATCATTATGTTGATGATAATGCGTATTATTATTTCTAAGCATTACTACTGAATCTAGCAGGTCCTCCATGGAATGTCTGATCTCAACAGTAACCTATTCAGCTTCTCGAGATCGCTGGCTGTCAGAACTTTAATTTCTTGATCTTCCATGGGTCATCGTAAAGCTTCAAAGTGGTAGAGCAGCCACTTGGAGAATAATACTGGTTGATGTTACTATTATGATTGGTTTTCCCTTTCCCTGTATCGGAATAGCGGTAAGAAGAAGGGTTTGATGGTTTTGTCTTCCTGGTATTAGTATTTCTGATGCAAAAATATTGATGGATATGTTTGGTGGTTCTGGTTTTGGCAATGGAGGGTGCCAAGGTAGAAGAAAGAGATAATTCAGTAGAAACTAGCATATTTGCAGATGATATTGATGACGATGATTTTTGCAGAGCCTTGTAAATAATATAATTTTCTTCACTCAGTCGTTGGGTTTTCGGAGAATACGTTGAAGAAATCACAGGGCTGTTAATGATGACAATGAGATTCTTTTCCATCTTTATTTGTAAGTTGTAACGAGGGTAGCTTTAGAATTAGTTTTAGTGTTCACTGTAACAATAAGTATTACTATACTCATCAAATATCAATCATTCAAATATCGATGGTCAAGACTTCATATTTAATATTTTGTTTTTCAAAAAATATTTTTAATAAGTAAATAATTCAAAATAAATATAATCTCTTATCTATAAGTTTTTTTAAAAAATAAATTTTTATTTGAAAATTACTAGTTAAAAATTTTAAATCTAAACCATTAAAATTGATTTTGAATGGTTTAGATATCACTGCAGCTACGAGTGTCATGAATCGGTAGCTTCTGATTTATTAGTGAAGGACAATAGATACACACCTACATATTTACACACAATTTTTTATATATTTATATTTCTAATTAATCATGTCTTAGAATCTGGAAAAACTCTTCTTCCAACTTATGATCAGGGAGAAAACATTATTCTTAGTTAAGAAATTAAACATTATCAATTACTGTAAATTGATCTGAATTCAAGCAGACATGATTTTAAAAAAAAAAAAATTTCGCAACATTGAGATTCCATCAATTTGAAATATAATTAATCTCATTTATTAACGAACCACTTGTTTCTTTTTCCTTTTGATTTGGTTCTATTATATGCCAGTCAACCTTAAGACATTATTTCGTAGTGCCGAAGTAGTAATAATAAAATAGTTGACGAGTTATATAGAACAACATTAAAGTGATCGAATGCCAAGTTTCTGTGCCGTATGCGGCAAAAGGTGTTTGGTACTTTCTTTTCTTTTCTAAATAATGATAGTTTGTGTATATATATAAAGCAAAAATCTTTTACTCTTGTGGTTTTATTTATAAGTTATTTCTAACATATGTTACGCAGAGAAAAAAAAACTTTAAACTTTATTAACTATAATTTAAAATTCAATAACTTTCTAACTTTATTCCTATTTAATATACATTATATCTCACATAAACAAAATCAACATAATAATAAACGAAAGGTAAACTTGTACATCCATACAAAATTTATTTCTCAATGTCTTATAAATAGGATCAAAAAATATCTTCTCTCTCTGTCCTATTTATCAAAGGAGTACTTGAAAGATAAAAATAAACAATAATCTCAATGTTCATTTAGAGATTCCACACTTTAGCAATATGTTTATTCTGTTGGGACCATCTAGCATCTAGATGATCATCAATTTGCATGTTTTGTAGCTATAAAGTTGCCGTTTATATAAAAAAAAAATTAATTGCATAATAAATTTTACAAGACGACTTATAAATGAAAATATAAAAAGCTCTAAAGAAGATAGCTTATG